ATTGCTTTTGATTTTTTTTATTGCTCTTTTCATTGCAATTATTGATATTTCCGAATCCAGCGATTCGAAAAAGTTTCCGGATAGTACATGTTCAAAGGTAGAACGAGGTAAATAAATTTGCTCGTAGAAGCTATTCCAAATAGAATTGGATATGAGGTTATTGATAAAAGATTTTCGATTGTACGATTTAACAAGATTTCAAAAGTCTTTCGAGCTTTTTATGTCAAAGAACTTATTTTTGACCTGATTTTCATATTTTGTTCTTTTTGCGGATAGCATTTTTTAATAATTCGCTTTTAGATGTACTGTTTTAGTTTCAGATGAAAAGCTCTGTCGCTTGTATGTTTTTAAGGCATAATAAGATTTTTCTTGTCACACTCCTAGCAAGTCTGATTGGTAGTAATACTTTTCATATTGTTTCTTTAACCAGGGGCAATATACATGAAACAAAGATACAAATTGACAAAGTCATTACCAAACATTTCGACGACAGCAAGAAAAATTACTACACATACCAACTGAAGAGTAGTAAAGGCCTTGTTGTAGTTATCAAAGGTATTGAGTCAAATATAGAACCCAATAAAATCACAAATGCCCTAAGCGAAAAAGCCTTTAGCGGTAGAGTAGTTGTAAATATAGTTAATAAAAATAAAATTCCACAACCTATGTTTAAAGTTGAACTTTACCCGGAAGCTTCTAAGCTTAAAGAAAATGTGACCATCCCATCTACAACCTGCAATACTTACTTCACCGGAAAATTAGCGTTGAGGAGCCCCACAAGCGAAATAGTCCAGTGCAATGCACAAACTGCCAAGAGTATGGCCAGACTAAGCCATATTGCACTCTTTGCACAATGTGCGTAGCATGTGGCGAACTTCACCGTAGTTCCTAATGCGATATATAAGCATTAAAGGACACCAAATCCAAAAAATGTAGCAACTGCAGTGGAAATCACACCGTAAACTACAGAGGCTGTCCTATTTAAAAATAACTGAAGCACAGGTTAGATCTGCATAAAGACACGTTGCTTAAGCCTACAAGAGGTAAACCCATCAAATTAGTTGCAGTACCCCAACCTTTAACTTTTTATTCTGTTACACCATGTGTTTCATATGCTAATGCTGTTAAATCTGACAAGCAACAAGCTCCTCCAGTTTAAAGTAATAGTTTCAAAATGATGATTTTCACTCTCACTCAGAGGTTAACTCAGTTTATGTCAAACTACGAGATAGTTAAAATGCAATGCCAATTAATGCAAATGTTTTTTTCTAATAAGTGAGTACTTTAAAAATTTGTACATGTACCCGAGAAAATGTGTATGTAATGCTTTGCTCAGAAACACATCTAACAAAAACATTTATTTTCTATTCCTGGTTATTTGTTCTATAAAACCAATCACCCAGATGGCAAAGCACATGGTGGTACAGATATTGTGATAAGAAGGAGTCTAAAACACAATTTTCTAGGTACATATGCTCATAATTATATGCAAGCCACATCAATATGCCTTAAACACAAAGAGAAAAATTCAACTTTATTGGCAGTTTACTGATGATATTTCTTAACTTTAGGTGAAAGATTTCTTGCAGCAGGACACTACAACGCTAAGCACACGTATTGGAGTTCACGGCTCTGTAATCCAAAGGGTAAACAGCTTTACAATTCCGTTCTAAATGGGATAAATGCACTAGACGTAATTTCTTCTAGGCAGCCAACATATTGGCCTGCTGGTAACAATAAAATACCAGACCTAATAGACTTCGCCGTAACCAAAGGCATAATCAGAAATTTTATCTCAACATACACAAGCTGCGATTTGTCTTCTGATTATTCTCCAGTTACATTTTGGTTACTTTATGCTCCTCAGTTACGAGATTGTTTCTACAGCCTTGCAAGTCCTAGAACAAACTGGCTCAAATATAAAAAGTACATTAGTTCAAACATACACAAAAATTAAAAAATAAAGTATAAATCTCACATTAAGGACGCAACATTGGTTTTAAACTCAATTCTGATTTCAGCAGCAGAAAACTCCACTCCTAAAGACAATAAAATTTACATATCCAATAAAGTATTTACAAATAGTGACATAGAAAACTTAATTTCACAAAAACGTAGGTTAAGGCGCGATTGGCAAAAATCTAGCGAAACACTTATTAAAGGAATCGAAAAGGAGACTTAGATCTGCATTATGTAAGGAAACCAAAGTCAGGCAATATAATTATATTCAAAACCTATGTCCAAATAGAAAAACCATTCATCCTTGTAGAATGCTAGCAAAGGTATAAATTCCGCCATAGAATTGGAGTCTCCAATAAGAAACTCTCTCGGAAACTGAAGAAAAATCTAACGTTTTTGCTAATTAACTTAAAGAGGTGTTCCAACTAAATCCTGCAACAGGACATTATGACTTTCCTACTCAGCATCTACATGCAATATCTATTGACATGCATATAACGGCCAATGATCTTGTTCAAATAATCACAAACAAGTTAGATTGCAAAGAGGCACCGGGATATGATTATATCTCACCCAACATGATAAAAAAATTTACCCCTTTTGGCTATAAATTTTATCACAAGACTTTTTAATGCCATTATTAAATTTGGCTTTTACCCAACAGAGTGGAAAACATTGATGATTATTATGATTCATAAATTAGGTAAAGATCCCACGCTTGCCTCTTCATACCGGCCAATAAGCTTACTACCATGCCACTCTTTGAAAGAACACTGCTTTTAAAGCTAAAACCATTCCTTGACGGTCAAAACCTAATACCCTCCCACCAGTTTGGTTTTAGAGAAAAATATGGAACTATTGAGCAAATGAATCGTATAACGAACGAAATAAGACACGCATTCGAGCTCAGAGAATATTGTTCTGCGGTATTTCTCGATGTTAAACAAGCATTTGATAAAGTGTGACTTAATGGGCTCCTATATAGGATACGCTGTTCATTACCTTCATATGTCCACTCAGTTTCAGAATCGTATCTGCATAACAGAAGCTTTAAAGTTAAATGAAAATCATATACTTCTAATAATTTCCCAATAGAAGCTGGTGTTCCACAAGGAAGTGTTCTTGGCTCTATCTTGTATGTACTTTACACATCCGATATCCCAATAAGGAGCTCAGTCGTCACCAGAACGTTTGTTGATGATACGACAATTTTATGTCGAAACAAAAACGTTGTGCTAACTTCAAACCAACCTTAATTTCACTTATTTTGGGTGGAGAAATGGTTGTCAAAATGGCGAATTAAAATTAATGAACTAAAATGTAGACACGTCATTTTTACCTTTAATCGAAGTATATCTCCAACAATTTTACTAAATAACATTCCCATACCACAAGCAGATAAATTAACGTACTTAGGTATTCACCTACACAGACTTGGCGCAAACATATTGAAGCCAAAAAAAATTCAGATGAAGCTCCAAGCCTCTAAGTTGCATTGGTTCATTAATAGCAGATTTTCACTATGAAGAGTATAAAATACTCTTGTATAACAGCATTATAAAACCAATATGGACTTATGGTATCCAGTTATTTGGCAATGCTAGTGCTTCAAATATGGAAATTATCCAAAGAGCTCAGTCAATAATACTGAGAACAATCACTGGTGCACCATGGTATATAAGGAATGAAAGTATTCACTGAGATCTACAAATTCCCCTAGTTAAAAATGAATTTGACAATATAAGAAAAAAATACAATAAAAGGCTGACAGAACATGTTAAGCTCCTAGCAAGAAATCTCGTACATCTATCCACTACTTCCCGTCTAAAAAGAGCTGACCGTCCAGCCATTAATTTTCAATACCACCTGATTAATAAACCACCTAACACTTATTCCAATGAAATTTAACCCATTGTTCTAAGTGAGGTTCGTGATATAAGGTTTACTTATTTTATTTTATTTTATACAGTGTATAGTTAAAATAAAAATGTGTAATATTATGGAATTAGTGATATGATTTTAAAACTTATTGTTGGGCTCATTGTAAGAGAAGATACAATAAATAAATGTATAAGTCTTTAAAAAAAAATATATCATATAAATATTGTCATTAAATTTTATTATTATAATTATGATTAGCTTATTATGTTTTTAGCAATCCTAAGAAGTGAATCGAGGACGACTCCTACTTAGGATGGAGTTATGAATGAAACCCGAACATTTCGACAAGCTCGAAATTTTCGAAACTCGAATTTTAATTTTAAGTTATAGTAGTTAAATTATATTAAGTAGAACTCGTGAATGATTGGAACAATTTCACCAGTCACAATTATATTGTAGTAATAAACATCTCACTCGCTCTCTTGGACTGGGAACAAGCAAACATAATTTACACGCAAGCGGTGTTCAAAGCATATATGCATGTTATGTTTTTAAGTATACCTGTGCTTTTTTTTCGTTTTGCATCTTTGCTTTATTTCGTTGTTGTCTAAACAACTTAGTTTTTTGTTTAAATTTTAAAATAAATGTGTACATTGTCTAATTGCATTATATTACTGAAGCTGGCTACAGGTATTGAATTCCTAAGTAAGGAAAATTATACTTATTAATGAAATAAGAAGGGCTTCAAGGTCGCAAAAATTAAATATTATAGAGACTTTCTTCGAAAAAAAAGCAACAAACTAGCATAATTTGGTGTATAGTTATAGTAAGTTACATAATATTAGTTTAAAAACTGTAAATATTATTTAACTTATAATAATGTTAATTATTTTAATATAAATAAGTTTTATTATAATTCATATTGAAGTTTTAATAAAGAATATAATTGATTCATGCAGTTTATGACTAGCTACATTGCACTCTCTTATAGGTTCTCGTACTGAAGTAATAATATAACGTGGTTGCAGCAGTATTTTGGAAATTGAATATTGAATGTTTCGCTTTGTTTTCTTAGTAAAAGTCTTTTTATTTCTAAATCTTTTAGTACATTTTTAAAATATGTTATTTTATTGCATAACTATACTTAAATGAAAACATACCTGATACGCAGGACTTTTTCTGCGGCAGCAAAGTGTCCCATATATTCACATTTTTGTTTTCTGAACTTTGTCCGGCTGGAAATAATTTAATTGTGGTTTATGTTTTTTTTATATTTGTAACATATAACCTATCTAAAGTTCATGTGGTTTTTAATAATTATTAAATAATAATAAATTTCAATAAATAAACAAAAAATGAGCTGTATTCTTACTTTTCACACAAAATGTAAAAATGTGATATTAATAGAATATATACTCTTAATATATACTCCTAGTGATATACGTTGGACTTAAGATAGAAAAATGAAATTCAATATAAAAAACACAAATACACTTTAATTCGTTAGAATCACTAAATTTAATTGTCTATGTTCAGAATACATCGTAAAAAAAACCAAATATGTATTTTAATTTCATTATATGTAAAACTGTAAATTATTTGCTATATGACAACGCTGCCAAGCACAAGCCTTCGTGCATTTTACTTAAACATAAAGTAGTACTTCGTTGATAGTCAAACGAAGGGGTCATGTTTAAAATCGTTGTCTTTTTTTAAGTTTGTGGTTGCTAAGATTAGCCCGTGTGCTATCAAGAAATCACCCGTGCGCGCATTAATAACTTTATTAGACTCAATCGTACAGTCTAGTATAATGATCTATTATATAATCACATCAAAGCTACAAATTAATTGACCTTAGACGTCAAGAGAATCAGTTTAAATATAAATATATAGAAAATATAAAGATGGGTTAACAGGACCTAGTTACTGTTCCATTTTCCCTGCAGAGAGTGGAAAGGAATACTCCGCGGTTAGGATTGCCTGTCGTAAGAGGCGACTAAAATCCCCCAGTGCCACTCTGCCACTAATGTAGGAAGTGCAAATGGTAGTGAGTGAGATCCGCACTCGCGACATCTGACCAGAGATGAACCGATCTGGTACTACGGGGGTCACAACAACATTTTATGCCTCCACGACAAAAAATGCTATGTAAAATAACAAAGGTACTTGGTTACTGTTCCATTATCTGGATGTTCATCTAAGTGATATGCAACAAAAAATTGCTTTCACAGTGGCTAATTCAGTTCTTTAATAAAAACAATTTCGTTTTTGCATGCAACAGAAGAGTAGATAATATACAAGATAAGTCGATCGAAAATCCCAATATCTAATTTTTGCATAACTGAATGTTTTTCCAATCGGTATCGCAAAGCTGAGGAAACCATACGAAACCTACGTTGGGTATCATATCGAACATCCAAATGTAGAATACGAACGTTGTTATGAGAAATAAAAAATGTAGAATACGAACGTTGTTATGAGAAGTAAAAATGTGGTAATAGAAAAAAGCTAGTGCCAAGAGAGCAACGATGCTGGGAGGTCCAAACCGAACTTGGAACACAAAATTTTTCTAAGTTTATTATTTTGTCAATATTAGCTAAATTAAAGCTTTTTCTTGAAATAAGAAATATTATTTAGATAGAAAATTCAATAATATTTTATTTGGTATGTACCTCATAATTGTATGTTGTGCAATAGCTGAGATATTCACAAAATAAAAAAACCAAATTTTTAAAGAAAACTGACTCTTTTTACTTAACAAATTATTACAAAACAACTAAGTGTTCGATGGACCTGCACACACATGCGTTTGAAAGGCAATAAGGCTTTCAAATAAAGTAAAAATCAGAAAAATCGTATGCGTGGAATTCGCACAAAAACATGTTAAAAATTAATGTCTTATCTCCCTCCAGATGACACATTTGAAAAAAACAACAACGTAAAATGATCAGAAACACATCACGAAATATAATTTTAAATCGTCAACCGATGATTTTATATTTATCATAAAAATATGATAAAAAATAACCTTTTTTTCTACCTTAATTTACTCTAACAAACATATCATCGCGTGCAAAAGCCCGATGGCAATAACGATATTTTCCTTTAAAGACAAATATATTACCTTTCCAAAATGATCACAATCAAGAAAATCGTATGCACAGTTTTTCCATATTATTTTTTCAAAAATTGATCATTTTTGATCAAAAATCCAATTATTTGATAAAAAACGTATACCTCCACAGCGCCATATACGGCGTAGAAGCAAAGCAGGACACTAACGACAATAAAACAAACTTTCAATTGCAAAAAAAATCAGAAAAATCGCATTATTCTTCGAACAAGGCAATGCAATCAAATATGAAAATTATTATTTCTCTTAAAACAATCATTTGAGAAAAAAAGAAGGATGACAAATGATAAAAAAATATATTACTAAGCAATATATTTAATAATATCAACTGAATATTTAATTCATATCATACAAATTTCATGAAAAAATATTGAAATTTTTTTTTGAAGTTACATATTTTTACAATCAAATATCTTACCGTGCAAAACTCCAATCGGGATAATCTATATGTCTATATGTCTATGAATTAAATATTAAGTTGATATTATTAAGTAATTGCTTAGTAATATATTTTTTAACATTTATTATTTTGTGTGTAGAGAAGTCCATATTTTTTGGTACCATTTAAATACCGTAAAATTCGCTTTGCAGCTCTACAGTGCTCCTCATTGTAGTTTGTATTAAACTGGCTCATGTAGTTTACTGCAAATACTATGTCTGGTCTTGTTGTAACTGCTAGGTACAAAAGGGCTTCTATTAGCTTTTGATAGGGGTACCTAGCCATGACTTCTTCATCAATGTCATTTGGTTTTTCAGTTTTAAAGTTTGTCTTTATGGGAGATTTTGCTGGTTTATATTCAACCATATTGAAACGTTCTTATAATTTTTGAATATAGGCTTGTTGTGTCAAAATAATTTGATGTCACAACGTTTTACTGGAGCAATATCTTTCATCTCGAAAGATTCGCTTAATGCATGTTTTGTGCTTTTGAGCCACATGCTGTTGTTTAATGCTAGTAATAAATCATCTACAAATATGATAATTATTAATAATTGTTTACCTTTTTGTTCGATAAAAAGACATGGATTTTGCATTGAAGCTTTTAAAGCAAGTTGTTTCAATTTAGTTGCAGAGTAAATATATATGGTAGAGTAAATTAAGGTAAAAAAAAGGTTATTTTTTATCATATTTTTATGATAAATATAAAATCATCGGTTGACGATTTAAAATTATATTTCGTGATGTGTTTCTGATCATTTTACGTTGTTGTTTTTTTCAAATGTGTCATCTGGAGGGAGATAAGACATTGATTTTTAACATGTTTTTGTGCGAATTCCACGCATACGATTTTTCTGATTTTTACTTTATTTGAAAGCCTTATTGCCTTTCAAACGCATGTGCGTGCAGGTCCATCGAACACTTAGTTGTTTTTTAATAATTTGTTAAGTAAAAGGTGTCAGTTTTTTTTAAAATTTGGTTTTTTTATTATGTGAATATTTCAGCTATTGCACAACATACAATTATGAGTTACATAACACTTCGTTCAATAATGTGTGTGACTAACTAATTAAAACACATTTTTTTGCCAAAATTCGTTTTTATTCATCAACATAGTCCCCTTTTAGGGAGATACAATCATTCCAACGCTTTTGCAATCTTTCGATACAGCCTTTGTAAAACGATTTTTCTTTGCCTTCAAAATAGGCGTTTGTTTCGGCGATTACTTCATCATTTGAGCCAAATCTCTTACCACGGAGCATCTTTTTGTGGTCTGCGAAGAGCCAGTAGTCGCTGGGGGCCAGATCTGGAGAATATGGTGGGTGCGGCAGCAATTCGTAGCTCAATTCGTTTAATTTTGCCATCGTTTTCATCGACTTGTGGCACGGTGCATTGTCTTGGTGGAACAAAACTGTTTTGTTCGCGATATGAGGCCGTTTCTTTGCGATTTCGTCTTTCAAACACTCCAATAACGCTATATAATAGTCGCTGTTGATGGTCTCCCCCTTCTGGAGATAGTCGATAAATATTATTCCATGCTCATCCCAAAATACAGATGCCATAACCTTGTCAGCCAACTGCTGCCTCTTTGGTCGCTTTGGACGGCTTTCACCGGCTGCATGCCACTTAGCAGACTGCCGATTTGACTCTGGAGTGAAATGGTGGATCCATGTTTCATTCATCGTGATGTACCGACGCAAAAACTCCAACTTATTGCGCGTAAACATGTCCAAACAGCTCTTTGAATCATCGATTCGTTGTTATTTTTGCTCCGGTGTGAGCAAACGCGGCACCCATTTGGAAAACACCTTTTTCATACCCAAATGTTAGTGTATTATGGTGTGTAAATTATTTTATTACCAATTATCAATTATTTATTTCTTTATTAAATATATGTTTTACACTGCAGAGCCAAAATTGAACTGACTCTTTCATATGTGAGGGAGCTTTTTACAACACTCTCACCTGAGAGCTTTTAAACATAATTCATCGGATATTTTTATTTAAACATAGAAGTGTGACTGATTACGTGTTAACTCCTCCCTCGCTAAGTAAGAGTCGTCCTCGGTCTCTTTTTGCGTTGAATACAATAAGTTAGCAATTATTGGAATATTTAACAAAATATATAAAACAAAAATATGTTATTATTAAAAAATATAACAATAGTTAGATAACAATATATTAAATATAACAATAGTTAAATATAAACAATAGTTTAACAATAGTTAAAATCATACAATTGTGTAAAAGAGAACACTCTTAGAACATTAGTATTGTGAATGCATCAGCTCGCTTCGCCCTTGCAAACCACTACAGAATATTACCTGAGGTTGTCCTTATGGACCACCCTTCCCTTTATGAGGACAGATGATCCTAGGTCTGCTTCCACCTTTCCTTCGACGCACAATGGAGTTATTTTGTTTCCCAGTCTTCTATTTGTTTTGACGAAAACTGTTTCGCCCACTTGAAAGGTTCTATTCTGCCTCGCTTTATTATGCTGTTTTAGCTGGTTTTCTTGGGCTTCTCTAATTTTGCTCTCTATTTCCTGTTGTAGTTCAGGTGTAGCTGAATGAAGAATATCTATGGGTTTCTTTTTGGTTGTGGTGTGAATTGACCCATTGTATGCTATGGTTGCCTGTATAATAAGTTCGACTGTGTCGTCA